TACAGGTATTTGAGAAATCACTGTATTAAGTTTAAAAGCATGGTTATTTTTGAAAAACATAAAATAAGTTTTGGGACGCTAATTTTTACACTTGGAACATTTGATATGCATCATCACACTTCATTTACTTTGTACTTACATCAAAAAAATTTTGTCACACTGAGTACAAATCACCCTGTATATAGTTATTCCTTATCGGGTTAGCTTATATATACAGGGTGTTTGGTACTCAGTGTGAAAAATTTTTTTGGTGTAAGTACAAAGTAAATGCAGTATGATGATGCATATAAAATGTTCCATGTCTAAAAATAGCGGTTGAATTGAAAAGTTATTAAGAAACATAAAAATATGACTTTGTATTTTTTAATTAGTTAACAAAAATACCAACATTCACCTTAGTGATAAAAAATATAAAAAGGCTCTAGAAATCTTGGATAAAGTATAAATTTCGTTGAAATGATCTGACCCATAGAATGCAAAACTGTTTATTGGGCACTCCTTTGTTTAGGAACATTGACTGTTGTTTGTTGTTGTTTGGGTTCGATTGAAAAGAGAGTCGACACGTTGTGCTTGTATAATCGACTAATGGAATTGCAACTTAGACTGTTTGGGATCTAACTGTAACACTCTTTGTGGGTCAAAACGTAAATTGTTTCGTTAAAATTGCTCTAAAAGGGGTTTTTAACTGTAACTAAATACTTTCAGTTTACACGATTCATTTCTATAAATTATATTCTAATCTATCTATCTATATATTAATAGGCAAGCATGTTTCTTTAAAACCTTTTTTCTCAGCTCGTGTGCATCGCAGGGAAAATCTACGCATACCGTTAGAAAGATGTTTTTCTGTAGGTGTGCAGAAACCCTTTAAAAATTAAAATAGGCTCAGAAATAAGCATAAGAAATGAATTTGAAATTTGAATAAAATTAACATGGGCTTTATGGGTTGTCATGTTGGTGACGAAATAACAACGAAATATAAACAGAAAATCAAAACAAATAGAAGAAATGCCAATCACATGTTTTATTTACAGTGTGGGGTGAAAATAGAGAAGTCTGTACATTATATATTTTTGGTCGAGTTTCGACCACTGGACGACCTCTAGTATATTTAAAACTACGGTACCCCAATTATGTGAACACCTTGCCAAAAACTAGAGTAATTACTGTAAAAATAACAAAATCTAGTTTAACATTTTGTTGTTGCAACAAATGATTACCGATGAAACCATTATGTATATAGGTTTTATCATATAAAACTCATGTTATGATTTTTAGTTTAAATAATTTTAACTAAGTGTAATTTTTAATTGAAGTGGATCAAGCATTTCCAATTGAAAACAGTTCATTTGGGTGAACAATAGAGTTTCTATGGAAGAACAATGGGCTCTACGTTCCTTCCTCCAGCTGCCATAAAGTTGAATGTTGAAGCAGATTACTTTAACTGACCTTTACACTCTGAGAGGCATATTCAAAATCCCATTATTTGTTTAGTCTGCCTCATTTGTGTAACTAAAAATGTCCGGCATTATAAACTAAATATTGTACAAAGGAATCTTTTGTGCTTCCACAGTGTGCTGATAATTTTAATATATTAATTACTTTTTTATAAAAAATATTAAACAAATTATATCCTTGATTTTTATTATGTCTACAGTTATTATGAAAATGTGGCCCTACTTATTGATGTTTAAACTGTTGGACTCCATATCTGTAGACAATATTATTTATGCTAATAAATCTTGTTTACATAAAATATGTTCATGTTGTGCATTAAAATATAAGTACAGTAAATGTGCATTAATACGTGTAAACTTGTCATAGCCTTTTTTATCCTTACACTTTTAATACAGTTGTTTACACAAGACCGGAAGACTAATCAAGATCAATGGAAAATTTGAGTTGGGTTTGGGTTGGAGCATTATCATCCAATACACGAAACATCGTAGGTACATTGCTAAATGTTAGTGATATTAAAACAATTTTCTACTGTAAAAGTCTATGGCTTCTATGGGATCTATGGCTTCTCTCCCACGGTTATTTACAATCTGGTTGATTTAAATACGGGGTTTGAGGTCAAGTAATGCACAGTGACAGATTATTGGAGCTAGAGTATTTGAAGTATGTATTATACCAAGACATTTACATTGATGAACGATTCAGCGTTTATGACGACTCTACAACTCAAATGTGGTCATATTTGTTTGATAAAGCAAGAAGTCAAGTTCAAAAGCACTGCACTGTATAATGTTGTGGCACAGAGGAGCGAGTCTATAAAGCATTCTATTTGTGGTACACTAGGTACAGTGATAGCAAGGAAGATACGATTATAGGTATACAAAATAATCGCCTGTATTTGCAACGCAATAAAGGGACGCAATTACATTGTATATGAGTTTAGGATACAGAACACCTCCATGCTACTCTATGATTATTTTGTTCTTATTATTTCAATTCTCTGTGTAAGGTATAAAGTAAAAAAATATGTATAAGACAGTGGAATAGTTCTCAGTAAGACATTTACAATGAATGTGCCATATAAGTTTAAAAGTAGTAGTTGCTATATTAAAATAATGTGTCACTTAGCTTATGTCAATATAACACCAAGCTGAATTTGCGATATGTTATTTTTTTCTCTTATGTAGGGAAATCCTTGGCTAAAACGCAATTCTTAGATTGCTAAATGCACATTGGTAGGCCTATGCGTCGCAAGAGGTCGTTTCGAGGACAATGTGAATTTATTTCCGGGCTACAAATAGAGTATGAAACCATAGTTGTATTAGTTGCATAGGCCAGTGTTAGATGAGTCGATACCAAATAAATGCAAAACATCTTATTGAAAAAATTGGTTTTTCTTTTCCGAGTTCGTTTGGCTCTTTCTACCCGACCGATTTTCATTATTGAGGTCTCAAATTGAAGGTATGCACGCACGGATTTCACATCAAGCATCGGCATATATTTATCTACTGTCCCACTCGGCTTATATTATACGTAAACGAAATTTGCTCCCCATGTATTTTTTTTATGGGAGTTATATCTTTTTCTTTTCCGAGGTAGTTTTGGCTCTTCTACCCGACCAATTTTCATGATTAAGGTCTCAAATTGAAGGTATGCACGCACAGACTTCACATCAAGCATTGACATATATTTATAAACTATATTACTTGACCAAAAAACATAAATTTGATTTAATTTTGAATTCTTATTTCAATTTAAGATGTATTTGTCCAGTTATAATTATATAATCCCATATATTTTGGTATAAGAACCTTCAGTGAAATACCGGCTTTCATTTCAGCTATTAGCTATTGAAATCAGACGAGTTTCAAGCAAACGCAAGGTGAACAACCAACATAAAAATGATTTTTCTAGGCTTTTCAATCATTAAAAATGAATAGCTCCAGTATTGTTTATGTTTTTTATATGTTTTAGACTCAAGATAATCAGTAAACCATAAGCATTAATTTGAGCTGTTGATCGTTTGAACCAGTTAAGTTCAAGATACTGTATTACCCAATTAAAAATCATAAATTTGATTATTTCTCGAATATGATATTTATTTCAACGCTGCAGAGCAGCAGGGGTCCTCTAAGATATTAAAAGTTCCTCTACAGACGTCAATACTAACAATTCAGTATTTTAAAATGTTGTGGAACTAACACACCAACAGTATATTTTATATATTTTTTATTAGTATATTTTTCCTACTATTATTACGATTGATCTACAATACTAAGTCCGCAAGTGAGGGGTAAAGATGATTGCAGCTGTTTAGAGGGAAATTATTCAAGGGTATGGCCAGTGAACACGCAGGGTCATTAAAAATCATACTTGTTAATGAGTTGTGGTTCCTCCTGTACAACCGTGCTGAAACCCTATACTTGGAGTACATCTAAAATACTATTTTGGAATATCTATTTGAACTTGTATAATCTAGTTCAGGTGGTACAATCTTGAACAATAGAAAAATAAGTGTTAACTACTACGATCGACACATCAATGCCGATAGAAGTTTTGGTATTTCATTATTGTCATCGAGCTTCCGGTTCAAATAGTCTCTGAGGTCGGGTTTATTATGGACTAGGTATACTCAATGGTATAACTTAAATACTTCACAAGGTTTTCCTCAAATCAACTACATGGTACCACAATGTAGGCCTACCCTACATACACATCTCAAATTTGTACTGTCCTATGCACAAATATTTTTGTCAGTTGTTAATAATTGTCCGTACAACCAGTTACTACTCTCCTTAATTACTAAGGTCGGCGTGCCTCGATGATGTCATTTGATTTGACTTTACCGGAGTACTATTTGGGCTGATCCTTTGGAAAATATCTCAAATATTACTTTATAGCCAATATTAATGTTTTATGTAAATAAATATTATATCCCCGCCGCAGCAAACCTGCAGACTAAGCGAATTTCCATTAGCCTGATAGGATTTACACTAAAATGCCTCCTTAAAAATATCACATTTATTCCCTATTCAAATAGAATTAGTTTAACGAGTACTTAGGTTTGCTGCAACGGGGAAGGTAAAAAGTAAATCGGTCCCGGGTCCAGGTCCTACCATGACTACTACGGTAATAGCTTATTCCCTATATGGGAAATTCGCTAATAACGAATAGATAATATTAGCATAGCCAACACAAGTAGACTTCTCATCCCATTGTAAATTTTGAGTCTCGTTTTAGTGTCTAGTTCATGTCTGGTGACAAGTAGAGGATGAGTTTTTGTTTATGATTAAATTGTTTTATTTGGGTAAACGATTGTAAAAAAACACACGATCTATACAGTGCACCGGACGGAACCAACAATAAAATTTTCTTCGGCTGATCCATTAGGATAAAAAATATAATAATAAAGTAGGTGTTATCAATGATATTTCAGTTACTTAACGGGTGGGGTAGGGAGTAATTACTCATTGTTACAATAGTTCACAGCTGTTCACACATACTAACACTACTTAGAGCCCTCAATGGATGCAGGTCTTTCGTTATGCCAATACCTAGTGTGTTCGCTTAAAAGCTAGTTAATGCGAAAAATGCACGATATAAATACTAATTGTATTGTGAATGCTATCATGAAGTTAATGATTTGGTTGTCGGTTGTTTCTGTATTATCGGTGAATATTACGTCAGGCAAGTCACATGACTATGTCAACGGAGATCCTGAAGACATTTCTCAAACGACTGACGGTGTCAACGAGGATGAATATAGTGATGGAAAAATGAGCGAAGCGGTGTTTATAAAAAACTCTTTTAAAAGTATAACTTCATTAATTCCAGAATCAGTTCAAATCTCCAGATTTCAAGAAAACGTTGGTAGGAAAGGTTTTCTGTGCACATCCGAAACTACACTCAGTCTTCAGGTACTTGATATAACTTCAGACTTTTCCTACCAGCCTTCTCCAGTGCATGGCTATAGAGAAGTTTCGTTTCAGGCCAGTGTGATCTTTAAGAAGCCTCTTATATTTGAAACTTTCATGGATGAGTTCAGTGGGAATGACGGCAAGTTCTGTGATGCGGGGTCCAAGACGGGGTTTGTTCACTGTACTTTCCCGAAGGAAAGCTACGTCAATGTGTTGCTAGCAGTTCCTGAGTTTTCAAAATATCAGACCAAGCTTCAAATGTCGCAATGCACGGTTTACATAAATAGAATCAGTGTTGAAAGTGTGAGTTATCCTGTTGTACAGGAGATAGACAACAAAGTCAGGGGCATCGGTGAGCGTTTGTGGAACAGTATAAAAGAAGAGGGTATAAAAACTATGATGAATAATGGTATCGTGAAGGCTTTGCTGAGTAAATTACAATCGGTTGGTAACAGAATGCAAGACGAAGACTGGGTTTGTCTTAGTGATGGTTTGTTGGAGTTTGGAAAACACATTCAAAATCAAGGTGGTTCCAAAGGTAAGCTAACTTACGTGAAACACAATCCTTTAGAATTTATCAACTCTTTCCAGCTTGGCATTGAAAAGTCAGTTTCTGCCTTTCGATCCATGGAGACCGTCAAATCAGATGAGCCCATTATTGTCCAAATGTCGGACAGCTTGGCTGGGAAATATGAAGACTTCTACGTTTTGATGCACGCCCCGCTGACTTTTCAAAAACTTAGAAATTTCTTTGGAATTGAGGAAGATTACTATTTTACTTTCTTCTGTCAGGACAGTGTAAAGCAAATCCCTAACCCAGCAAATAGTGGAGCCAAACTGTACATGTCTCCAAATGGAAAGTTTATAGCAAAAACGTTGAGACAGTCAGAAGTGGAGACTTTTCAACTTATTCTAAAGTCTTATTTCGAATATGTTAGCAAAACTCCAGACACCTTACTAACGAAAATGTTTGGTCTTTACACGTACGAGAAACGAAGCACATTGTTTCACCCTTACGGCGCTGAAAAAGATATTGTTGTGATGAATAACATCATGCCCGCAAACGAGGAAGAAATCAGCCAGAGATATGACCTTAAAGGAGCTGAGTTTAGGAGGAAAGCATCTGAAAAAGAGAAAAAGAAGACAATAGCAACTTTCAAAGATAAAGATTTTCTTTTACACCATTCTCACGGTATATATTTAAAGGCAAATGACTACGAGAGACTAAGGAAGGTTGTAACATCGGATTCGAAGTTTTTATTAGATTTTAACATTTCAGATTACAGTTTGTTATTGGGAATTATTTATGAAGGTAGAATATTAAATAAAGTAGAAAGAGAAAGGCCCACTGGAACTGTAACTGGTATACCTTGTGAAAGTAAAGAAGAAACCTCTGATTTTAAACACGTAGAAAATAATCTTCTCAAGGGTTTATCAGGGTTCACGGTTCATGGCGAAAGAGTTATGCTTTATTTAGGAATTATAGATTGGTTACAGAACTTCAATATTAAGAGGAGGATGCAGGATAGAGTCTTCAGTTTGTACGTTTGGGATCACTCATTTTCTATCACAGACCCTAAAACGTATGCATCAAGATTCATAGACTTCATGGGATCAAAGGTTTTCCGAAAGATGCAGCCTTGCTTGGCAGAAAATAAGTAAATCTCTTGAAAGGATAACAAATGTTGAATAAATGCTTTGTCTTGACTCAGCAGGCTCGAAAAGGAAATAAGTTATTTCCAAACAATTCCAGACAAATGTTAAAACATAGACGATGAACTAATGAATGCAGAACCTCTTGGACAGTGTGAACTGAAAACTCCCGAGGTTAGTGGTACAAGAAAGTTGGAGACTAAAAACATCCTAGAACTTATTATTTATACGATTGTAGGGGTTTTCTCAATTTTATTTACCCAGTTTGTAATTTTAAAATGTTTGTAAAACTATTTTAAAACGAGATGTAAATAAATAATATAATACAAGTGTTTCAGAAAAGTCTAACCTTTCATATGATAGTTAGCTAGTAAGAATTTGAAATAATTAATTGCAAAATACAAGCTTATTGTCATTGCAGAAAATTTAATTTTTTGGGAAATAGTATTAACTTTTTACCAAACGACATTCACTAAATAACATGCCTATGACTGTTTCAAGTTGAGTTTTCAATTGGTGGATGTAACAAAACATATAAAATCTATATATCTAATTCTGTAAGCCCAAAATTTTACAATGAAATTGTGAGTGAACGGGAGGCCGTAGAAAGCTGGGAGAGGTCTCATTTTAAAGGTCTGGGCATGAAATTTTGGGGAAAATTAGCCATTTTCCTTAATTATGCACCAAAAGGTTATTACGGAATAAATTAATTCTCATTTAAATAGCATGGGAATCCAAGGTCATGTCTGCTTTGTTTACTTTAAAACATGTGGTTTAACTTTATTTAAAGCATATGGTAATTTGTAATATGTACTGTAATATGTATACTACTGTATTATAAAGCTGAAATAGACTTTTTTACAATTTTAAGGATCTGAATCAGTTAGTTAATGGAGTACGATTGGTTGTGTTAAGTATGTCTGAAAAAAGTTAGAAGGAATTACTGGAGTAGGCAAAGGGAACATATTTTTGATGCCAAAATAAAACTAATATCTACAGATGCTAATATATGCCGTTTAAGTTTACAAGGATTCAATTCCCATTGTGATTAGCTCTCGCTATTCTATATAAAGCGCAAGGCCAAACCTTCACAAAAGTTGGCATTTATTTGGAAAAAAACCAATGTTTACCCAGTGGCCAGCTTTATGTTGCTTTTAGCCGGGTAAAGCGGCCAGATGATGTTAAAATACTACCAAATAAAGACCAAGGAATCTACTTTAATATGGATACTGTAAAACAGAGAGTTTTTGCATTTTACAATTTGGAGGATGACATTATCTCTATGTGTTTTTTCGAAGTGAATTTGTCTATATTCAACGAAATTTATATGTATTTAATTAATAGTCATAAAGATTAATATTGAAAATGTTCTTTAGTTGTATTACGATTAGAAAGTTAAAATTATAAACACACCGCATAAACAGTCCTTTGGAATTTTTATTTTAAACAGAGCAGACATCAAAATGCTTAATGCAGCTATGTAATAACTATCATACATATTAGGCTATAATATATAAAAATGTTAAACAATTATTCAAGTTAGGGTAACCCATGAGACTAATAATTTGTACAAAATAATTACTAGAATATTATAGGGGCCAGTGCCCCTACAAGCCACTAGTAGTAACTAAAGGGTTAATTATTAATGAAATAAACAAGCAAGGCTTGATACAATTACCATACCGTGTGTTTCAAAAGTCCCACCCGTGTTGTTTTGTTTAATTAATAGAGACAAAATGATAATATTCAGGGAATATTTATATGGTCAAAAAAGGATGTTTTTTGTCTATGTAAATTTTTACCCCCTCCCTCCCAAAAGGGGTAGTTTGGGGTTAAGTTGAAATTTTCAAATTTAAACCCCTATCAAGTTATACATAATTTTAGTAAAGATGATAAAAGATAAAGAATGGCGCAAACTAGAGGTCTCGAACACGTTTTTTAAAAAATGGCTATAGCTCGAAAGCGGTAAGAAGATTTGAAAGAATTTTAATTGTCAAGAATTAAATTTCCTACAAAATAATCTTGGGTGTTTTCCGATCACACTCCTTCGCCTTAAAAAAAAAGCCGTACTTCTAGATTTTGAAAATGTCTCTAAATTTTTGACGTGTTTTAACTGAAAACGAGCTATAGCCGTTTAAAACCCAGTTTTTTTTAATAAAAGGGGGGAAATTAAAACTTTGAATTGTCATAAATTTTGATAGGATTGACGTATACATTTAGTTTGCGCCATTATTTTTCTTTTACTATGATCTTTACAAGTATTATCCAAATAGCTCAATAGGAGTTTACGTTAGAAAATTTCGACTTATGGTGTGGACACCATGAAACCTTTGGGGGGGAGGGAGTGAAAATTTACATACACCAAAAACATCCTTTTTAGCGAATTTCCCTATAGGGAAGTAGCTATTACCGTAGGTCTCATGGTAACACTTAGGCCCGGGACCGATTTACTTTTTCATTTTGATGTCCCCAGAGGCCAAAAACACCATTCGTTCAAATTTATATATATATATATATATATATATATATATATATATATATATATATATATATATATATATATATATATAGATTTATATATATATATATATATGTGTGTGTGTGTGTGTGTGTGTGTGTGTCCGTGAACACGATAACTTGAGTAATTTTTATCCGATTTTGATGACATTTGGTTTAAAGGTGTAAGGCGGGATAAACTTGAATGAGTTCGCGATCCAGCATGATCGGATCATGGGAACAGGGTTTTATGGGGTAAAAATAGGTTTTTCTCACTTTTGACCCTCAAAACACAAAATTTCCTAATTTTCCTCTAAACCTTCTTAAAGAGCTTAAATAAACAAACAATTCAGCATATCAAAGTGTTTTGTACGGTTATTGGTTATGGAGAAAACTAAAAAAAATGGTCAACTTAAAATTCCCATGTTATTCTTATGGAGAATATTGTAAAATGTTGTAGTTTGCTTGTTTATGGATATCTTTTGATCAAACTTGGCAAATATATTCATTTTATACTAAGCAATAATTATTTTACCTAAAACACACACATTATTAGTGTCCTTGTAGCAGCAAACCTAGGTACTCGTTAAACCTAATGTTATTTAAATAGATCAATTGAAAATCAATTCAGCCAAATGGAAATTCGCTAAGACGGCAGGTTTGCTGCGGCGGGGGTTTTTATAATATAAACACGCTCTGAATATTTTAATTTTATCTCTATTAATAAAAGAAATAACAGGGGGTGGGACTTTTGAGACTTACGGTATAATTACAAACTATACGTTCAAATACAGTCTTTGAAATGATGGATGGTAGTGGTATATAATTTTATCTCTATTAATAAAAGAAATAACAGGGGGTGGGACTTTTGAGACCCACGGTATAATTACAAACTATACGTTCAAATACAGTCTTTGAAATGATGATGATGGATGGTAATTGGCGACACACGTGTGATGCTGTGGCTGTACATTGCTGTGAACTGTGCTCTTGTGATGCATTACATATGTAGCGTTATCGTGTATTCTAGACTTTGTTAACACATCATGGAAGAAAGAAAATGCATTGGAGTTTCAGTGATACATCTAGTTACTGCGATAAGTGTGGTAACTGTGGTGGAATGTGCGACTGGTGGTGTGCCGGGCATCGTTAACAACAGTTTAAAGGACACATGTACTCTAGCCAACCCTGCAACAAACAATTACGACGAGCTTACAAGAACGATAAAAGAGGGTTTGATTAGAAACATGTTTGGCACGTTGACGTCTTTGATATCCAAATCAATTGAGATACCCAGGTTTCAAGAAAACATCGGCAAGTCGGGGTTACTTTGCACTTCTGAAGCACTGGCCGAAGTCAGTCTACAGGTACGTGATAAAAATTGGAACTTTTGCTACCAACCATCTTTAATAAGTGGCTATGTCGAAGTTTTAGTTCAAGCTAGTATGACATTCAAAAAGCCTATGACATTTGAAACCTTTATTGACGAGACTAAGACGAGCTTTGAAAAGTTCTGCGATGCAACTTCTAAAACTGGTTCAGTTCAATATACGTTTCCTAAGGAAAGCTTCGTTTCATTCCTATTAGCTGTTAATGAACTTCCAAAAATTCAGACCGAGTTTCTGAAATCCCAATGCTCGGTTATCATCCTCGGAATAAAAGTAGACAGTGTTAGTAATCCGGATGTAATTGAGATGGACAATAAAGTCAGTGGCATCGGTGACCGTTTGTGGAACAGCATGAAAGGAGCCGATATCACAAATATGCTTACCACCGGTATCTTGGAGGCTGTGGTAGGTAAGTTACAGCCGAACACTAACGTAATGCAAGGTAATGACTGGATTTGTGTAGGTGAGAGTCTTGATGAGTTCAAAGAATTCTCGAAAATTAAAGGCGATCATTGGGCATACAAAAAACAAAATCCTTTCGAATTCATAAGCTCCTTTCAGCGAGGCATTGAAAAGGCGATCACTGATTTTGAATCTCAGAAAACAGTGAAATCTGATGATACTTTCATGGTTACACTGTCGGATAATGTTTCTGGGAAAGTTGAAAGCTTCCGCGTCTATGCATACTCACCACTGACTTTCCTGGATCTGAGGCGTTTGTTCGGCGTTAAAGAAGATTACTATTTAAAATTTTTCTCACAAGACACTTTATTGCCACTCTCAAACCCAGGAAAGAGTAAAGCCGACTTGTATATATCACGCGATGCAAAGTTTATGGGTAAAACATTAAAGTCTTCAGAAGTAACTACAGTTCAAAATGTTCTGAAGCGGTATTTGATTTATATGGAAAAAGGTGCATACACACTTCTTCCAAAATTCTTTGGTCTCTATACATACGTGCCAGTGTCCTTTCGAAAAAAGCTTTTGCAAAGTGATTTAAATATGATCGTGATGAATAACATGATGCCGGCAGATCTTGAAATCATCAGTCAGAAATATGACCTGAAAGGATCCAGCTACGGGAGAGAAGCAAATGATGATGAAAAGGAGAAGAAATTTCCAACTTTCAAAGAAAATGATTTTCTTCTTCATCATTCTCACGGGATATATTTGAAAGCAAGAGACTACGATAGAGTCGTAAACGCTATCGCCTCCGATGCTGAGTTTTTAAATGGTTTAAACATTGTTGATTTCAGTTTATTGTTGGGTGTTTCTTATGAAGGTAGAATATTAAGCAAAGAAGAAAGGGAAAGACCTACTGGTGAAATTACCAGTATACCTTGCGAAAGTAAAGACAAAGAAGAAACTACATCTGTTTCTAAACGTGGGGAATATAATCGGC